ATCATAACTATCTGTCTCATATGAGAAAAACTTAAGGCAATCTTTGACCACTCTAACCTTTGGGTCTAAAAAGTATAACTCAACATCGTTCCTTTTCTGTCTCCGCAGTTATACGATATATGCCTAGTAAGCTTCGCTGAATAGCTAAATTCTGATGCATTTCACGATATACGTAGTCTATATGAATGTATAAGTGAACTTTTCTTTTGCCTCTTTGATAATTTCAAATGTTCAACAAATGTAATCATGTGCATGCTAAGGTCGTCAACTATTTGCGGACTACATGAAGCTCCCTGTGATACACCCTTTGCTTCTATAGATATTACCCCCGAAATATTGATATCTGGTTCTACTGCATCTAACATGTATAACACATCTTCTAGTTGATAGTACTTTCCTTGTAGTTTGTTACAGTTTGTGTAGTGTTCATTATTACTGTGAACTTCTGAACAATCATATCCTTTCATACAGATGTGCAAAAGTATTTTGAGATTATTCTCTACTTCATGTGGCAGATTAGTAATAGGAGAAGGCCCTTAATTAGTTGGTTACTGTTATCTATAGTCCGTGTTCGACTTTTGTTTTTTAGTAAACCCTACAGTAATTAACAAAGTGGTTGGAAAATGCGAAAGTATTACCTGCATGTTAGTGTTAGTAAATTTAGTGTGATTCTTTTTGCCTAGTAGTTCGAAACTTTATAGGGATTATATGCATTTTAGAAACGTCGTATATTCTTGGTGTTTCATCACAATTACTTTCTTGTCTGATATTTTAAGCTGATAGAAGCTTCTTGTGCTTTGCCTTAACATTTCTTCACTAAATTTAGTGGACGCATATGTATTACCTTTTAATCCTGTCTTTTTTCTTCTTTATCATAACTCATAAAGCTTTTTGCAAATAAAACTTGAAGCTAGACTTTATTATAACACCTATAGACTAACCTAGCTTAGATCTAGCTTTATTTATAGGTCTTCTTGTAAAGATTTTGGGTTGCCTTCAATGTATTCCATACTTTATAATACAATGTGACATTGGTGTTAAACATCTTATGTTT